CACCTCTGCATGGCCCTCCTCATGGTGCCAGCTTGTCTCCCCACAGATGCCCCCTGCCCTGCCCAGCCCCTGGATCAGCTCTGGGAAGTGCCACTGCTGAGCCCAGTTGTGCCCACCTTCCCTGCCTGGAGCTCCAGCCCTGCGTCTGCCTTCCCACTGGCACCAGCGCGGGCCCCACTCAGTACCCCGTCGCCTTCCTGCAGGGGCACCACCACTGTGGACGGCGCCGGCTTTGGCATCGACCGGCCGGCTGAGCTCTCCAAGGAGGACGACGAGTACGAGGCCTTCCGCAAGAGGATGATGCTGGCCTACCGCTTCCGGCCCAACCCCCTGGTGCGGGTGCCTGCCTCCACGGGTTGCTTCCAGCGGGCTCTCCCCGACTGCCAGTTGCGGGTGGCTGTGGCAGTAACCAGGGTCCTTCCCTGGTACAGCCAGGCCAGGCTCTCAGCAGATCCCCCTCGCTTCCCCAAGCCTGCCCTGTCTCCTGGCGGGAGGATGGTTCTGGGCAGAGGAGCTGCTGTGTCTTCTAACCCCCTCCCATGTCCTCCTTCCTGCAGAACAACCCCAGGCGGCCTTACTACTGAGTGTTCTGGAGAAACAAGCGAACTCTCTGAACGTCCTGGACTGGAGTGTTCTGGCCCGCACTTCTACCTGCCTCTTCCGTTGTCACAAGTGTTGTGCCGTGTAATAAAGTCCCAGTGCTCACTCCCACAGCAGCCTGGTCCCGCCATCGCTGGAAACTCCACCTGCTCCTTGCTAGCAGGGCTGTGGGGCGCAGGAAGCCATCACGAAGGCTTCCCAGTGCCTGAGCAGTCCTGGGGTACCACCTGGCCCCTTGACCGCCCTCAGGGGCTCCGCCTGGTTGCAGCCGAGGGAGGACTCACCAAGCCCTCTCAGATGGGGGCGGGGAGGAGGCTCGCTCAGCCCAGTAAACCTTGGCTTGGCCACACCTGGGTCAGAGGGGTGTCGGGGCCTCAGCCTAGCACTGCGCTGCAGGAGGCTGGGAAGGGGTCTCAGGCCCTGGGCACCAGTGCCCCTCACCTCTCCGGCAGGTGGCCTGGTAGGTCCCAGCACACTTTGCAAGCCCTGGCTACTTTGGGCTCCACAGCGAGGCATGGGCATCCCTGGGGCTCATGCCTATCAGGGACGGCTCCACAGACAGATGCACCGTGCTGACACCCCAGAGGCCGGGCCTTAGAGTGGGAGACTTTAGACAGGAGGGTGGCCCGGCCGAGTGGTGTGCTGAGCCCTCTCCATGTCTCCCCAGGGCTTGACATTTGTGCAGAAACCACCCTAGGCTCTTGTTTATCCGCGGGATGGGCAGGGCCCTGAGAGTCTCCATATCCACTGGCACTGCTTGTGTACAAGCCGCGTGTGGGGTGTCAGGGCCCAGGGATTTCACCCATCTGCCTCCGCACACTTCTACAGGTGCTGTCCCACACCCTCACCCCCTGGGGCCAGGGGTTCCCTGCTCACAGGCTCTGAGGACCAGAGCTGGAGTCGGGCTCCCAGGCAGCCTGCACTCACAGCCATTCAACAAACACTGGGCACTTACTGAACCAGCTGAATGGGGTCTGCTCCCACTCACCGGGGCCGAGGTCTGGGGCTAATCTTGTTCAGTGTGGCTGTGACGGAGCAGCTGCAAAAATGCCACCAAGAGGGGCTAGGACGCCGGGGTGGAGGTGGCCTGGGGAGTATGTCCCAGGAGGGTCTGGGGACTGAGAGGTCTTGGAGGCGGTGGCAGAGCTGAGGCTGGGGTGACATGCCTCCCTGTGGCCCCTTGGTGGATGCTGTGGCTGAGACAGGGCAGAGGGGCAGCACTGGTGGGCCTGGCCCAGGTGCCCATGCGCAGGAACTGCCCAGTGGGCAGTGGACGGGGCCCGTGTGCAGGGGTGTAGCTCTGGGTAGCCAGCAGTTGGGAGGCAGGGACCACAGGGCTTAGTCCCAAGCACCCAGCCTGCAGGTCACTTCGAGTCCTCAGTGCCCTGGAGACTCACCACATTGGCATGGACTTTACCCCAGGCAGGGAAGAGGAGGTGCGTCCCAAGCACGGGGCACAGCCAGGCTCCTAGAGAGCTGGGCACAGGCACCCCGGCCCTGTGTGGAGAGGAGTGGGGTGGGGTGGCAGGGAGGCCTGTGGAAGGGGGCCTGCTTTACAAGGTGAGAACACATGAGACGATCCCCCGTGCCATCAGGAAGCCTGTGGGGTGTCAGCACCGCTGGCGTTGGGAAAGGCCGGCCCAGAGGAGGCTGAACCTCACCCCCTGCGCAACAGGTGCCTGGAGAGCGAGGCTGAGTCAGATCCGCAGTCAGAAGACAGTGGCCCAGCCCAGCTCGGACCCGGGACCTGGCTGGCACAAGGCCACCGCGCTGCCCAGAGATGGGTGGGGCAGGGAGGCTTAGAACCTGCACCCAACCCCAGACTGGGCTCCCTGGGGCAGGAGCCGGGCGGGTGTGGCTGGCCTTGCGGTTGGCAGCAGCCAAGGACTCCAGGTGGGCAAGATCGGAGGCCGGCGGGAGGGCGCTCCAGACGGCCTCCTC